TATGTGTGTGTGTGTGTGTGTGTGTGTGTGTGTGTGTTTGTGTGTGTGTGTGTGTCTGTGCAGGTTATCTCATCCTTAGTTAACAATAGTAATAAAAAAATTACCACTTTTATAATAGCTAACATAGTTATGAACACTTCACTTAGAGTTAATCCCACCCTCGATTTAATTCAAGCTGATACGGCTTTAAATTCCTAACCCCTTAAAATGTCTTACAAACCGTATGGTAGCACTACAAGTGAACGATATGTGGCCTACAAATGCATTTTTATTTAGTTTGATTACACTAACGCAGAAGTTTAGATATCCCGCTTGTTTATACCCCACCCTGGTAAGGAGGGGGTGAGAACTCCTCTCTTGGGTTCTCGTTCTAATTACACAGATAAAATTCATTTACGTTTAATGGAAAGCCTAGGGCTTGGTATTCAAGCTTATAAAGGACGAGTAATTTTTTTTTGGTTCGTCATGACGTCATGTGATGTCACATAACGACTTCAAGTGCGCATTTTGGTTTTCGCTATTTTCTCAGAAAGAAAATAACGGAAAACATGGAATATTAATTCAAAACATATATAGATATAAAACAGTACACCTCACCTTGTCTTCTGTAAGCTTCACTTTAACGTTTATATCTTTTTCAAGTGTTGTATCAAGAGGCAGAGGGACATAATCCTGATCACCTTCATCGTACTTGAGTAACTCTACGTGGGCTGGAGGCAATTTATCTAAACCTACATCGGCAAAAGCTACCATGATAAGGTAACGTAGTTCCAGAACCTCGTCGCCTTTTTCGAAAGATACACTGCGCTTGATTCCTTTGAAATCCACTTGGGCTTTGAGCACCACAGGATTGTTCGACCTGTTTGGGAAAACACTAAGTCAGGCTAACTTCAGGCAAACTAACCTTAAACCAGCATTAACCCTATTCGTACCGGGATATTTTAGGTCTGCTAGGGCCGAACGAGGCGGGGGGACTTTTCAGGCCCTCTCTCTGTAACTCTTAGACAATGAAACTTTAGCGCGTCCAAAAATATTTCTTTGAGGTCAATAACATAGATGTCATATGACGTAAAAATGAGACCGGCATTTTCATTTCGATCCGGCATCTTGGATCCGGCAGAAATTAAAAGCCGCCGAAAATGGCTCAAAAATAGTCAAAACCAGTAAAGCACATCATAACTAACAAAGGGAAAGTAAATACAAGAAAACTGTTCCTTTTTATTTATTTAGTTTTTTTTTTATTTTCTTTTCTTAATTTAAAGCAACAATATTCAAAATTGGAAGAACAAGCCTTTCATGTTATTTAGGGTGACGTCGCCAAATTTGGACCTTATAGCTTTCATACCCCCTCTCACCCCCTCCCCCACAGACTGAATAGATCTAGAGTCCTCTGGATATGAGAACCTGGGCCATTGCAGGAGCTACCCACCCCCCGTACAGCGGTAATTCGCCAGTGTCCTTTCGGTAATCCATTTAAACTTTGACACCGGGCATTTTAGCAGCTCGTGAAATTTGGTAAGTGGTGTATACTAGAGTCGCGTGCACCCATAACAATCCGAGGAAATTCCTGTCATTTACGACGGGTGTAAGGTCAATAATAGTAATCATCACATCCGGTCAGAAGCGTGTAAGCACCTTCTTGCTTGATTATTAATGTGCGTTTTATTTACAATGAACCTTCCATTTCTTTTATCCACGAGCAATTATAAGAACTGTAGCGTGTCTTAATTGCAATCATCTTTATCTAAATGATGTTCAGTGTAACAACGGGGCCTCTAATGTCGCTAATAAATCAGATTATTATTTGCTTCTTGCAGGCATTGATCTACCCTGTGTGCAAAGGGTTTTCGGTTGCGGCTTGTCGCCGATCACAGTCGCAGCTTGGCCACGAAAACAAAAAAAAGGAAAAAACCCTCTGCCACCCCGGTAGCATTAATCGCGATTCAAAACTGTTTAATTTTAGAATTCATCAAACCGCATACCGTGAGTTTTGTACAGAAGAGTTGCAACGTGACTATAAAGCGAACTAATAACTTGAACTCACCTGTTAAGTAAGAAAAATATCGTTATTACTGACAAGAACATTAAAATCTTCGGGTGCAGTAGGATTCTCAGGATGATACCCAGAAAAGACCACATCTTAGGCAGATTCAGCATGTCGCTAGTGGAGAGATCACTTGTCTCAGAGCATATTATAGCAAGCGGGCAGGAAATACACTGTCCAAAAGAACTGAAGGTACTTATAATCCACAACCTTTGACAAGTCAGAACACAGAAGTGGAACAACAAAGAATATGTCTGGTCAAGTCAAATAATCTCTTAAGCTTGATTCGGCTTCCGGTCACGAGCTGAATCTTTTGGATTATTGTTTTGTGCATGTATATCGTGTGTGCCTGATTTTTCCAGAGTGTTTTGTTATTTTCCTTAGTGGTTAGCATGCTCTCTACATCTAATGGAATTTTCTTTTCTGCATAGCCTGACACACATTAGTATTTGATCCTCATCGCCCGAGACAAGACCACAATCAGTCTGCATTTAGATATCTGCTTTGTACATGTAGGCACCTGTGCAGTTCCAGCCATTAGTGGTCATTATAATGTCATTATATCGTGTACCAAACTTACAATTGTAAGACGGCCAAAACGGTCGACGTAGTTACGACAGATACGAGTGTACGCTTTACGAGTTTATTGACAAACAGCGAAGACAATAACAAATAAACGGAAACGAGTAACACTGAAATACAATAAACAAGCTAAAATAAGCCTAATGCTAATAAAGAGTAAAACAAGCTAACTTAGCTAAGAAATAACAAAGTAATTTGGTGTAAATAACAAGACAATTGCAATAGGAAGATTGCATGACAAAAATA